TTGCCGTTTTAAATAGCTATAGATCAATTTGAAAGAATTAAATAGTGTACATCTATTCAATCAAACAAAACTAATTATAAACCATAAAATCTGGAAATAAACAAATACTCATGAATATATGAAAAAGATAGATTCAATTAGATCTCACAATTGTCATGAATCAAGATTTCAATAATCCTTCAACTAGAAAAAGAGTTTAGCTACTAATCTTAATAGAATCAATAACAAAATAGTAGATGATTAACATTACAGAACCAGTAGTGACGAAAACTGAGAGAAATCTGCCCGTCCGGAACTTTAGTTGTGCGTCGACTGCTCTCACGCTCCTTGTTATTCTTTTGGCCGAATTTTCCCCTCTATTTATAGGGGAGGATGACTGAAAACTCTCCTAATAAGTAGGAGAAGAAATAGGATACAATATATTTTTCCTATTTTTACAATTTAATTTCCAAATTTGCCTCTTTTAACAACTCATCTCTTAACTAGCAAGAAAACAAACCTAGACCCATTAAAAAACTCAATACATTAAGTCTATTTAAGGAATAGAAGTAGCCTCCACGTAAAAGATTACTTCTTTGGAAAGAATCGCCTACTTGAGTTTGAGCATAACTTCTTATTGGAAAACCTTCCTTCCTTGAGTGTGAACATGTTTGCTTGCCTCCTTCCTAAAGAATAAGACTTTATAACTCCGTAAACTTGGGAAATAAGCAAATAATTCGTCCAAAACCGCAGCTGCCCACCAAGTTTCCCAAAATTTTAGTTTGACCCTCAAAGTTTGTAGAAATTATATTGTAGCCTCCAAACTTTCTTAGTTTTGCACTTTAGTCCCTAGTTGAAATTTTCAGCTCGTTTTTCAACATGATCACGTGCTATATCAATTGCGCTTCTGCCCTTGATCATAAATCTCTTCTAAAATTAACACTTTTTCATCCTTTTTATCGAAAGTACCTCCTATGATCAAATTAAGCACAAAACACCAATATTAGCATAAATACCATCCAAAATAACACATAAATCACCATAAATATTACGTTAATATCGACCTTATCAAGGGCTTGATGGATACAATAGTGCTTTCTACAAAAAAAAATTGGAATATAATTGGTAAAGATTTCAATAATGCTATACAAGAATTTTTCAGAACCGAGAGGATATTGAAGCAGATCAATGCCACACTTATTACTTTGATCCCCAAGCATGAGAGTCCTAAAAATGCTACTAAGTACAGATCAATTTCATGCTGCAATACCATCTATAAATGTATCTCCAAGATGTTGTGTAAGAGGATATGTTTTATTCTACCTGAACTAGTTGATCTGGATCAAGGAGCTTTTGTCAAGAATCGACTAATCCTTCATAACATCTTGTTAGCCTAGGAATTGATGAGAATGTACAAGAGGAAAAATGCTAAGCCTTCCTGTATGATGACGGTTGATTTGAAGAAAGCATATGATTCAGTGCATTGGGAGTTTGTAGAGGAGATGCTGAGGGAATATAAGTTTCCAGAGAGATTTATTCAATGGATTATGGAATGTATAACTACTTGTAGCTATTCATTAAACTTGAATGGCAGTAGTGTGGGTTATTTCAAAAGAGGAAGGGGACTGAGACAAGGTGATCCAATCTCACCCTTGCTATTTGTTTTGGTGATGGAATACTTGACAAGACTGTTTAAGTAGAATATGCAAAAGATGGATTTGTGAAGCATCCAGAACTGAACATCATTTCCCTAAGTTTTGCAGATGATCTTCTCATATTTAGTGGTGCAGAAGTAGGCACAATCATCATAATAAAGAAGACATTGGAACATTTTGCAAGTACAACTGGCTTGAGTATCAATTTCAGTAAGTCCAACATGTATTTGGGTGGATCAACAGAAAATGTACAGTAGCAAATCAGAGACATAATGAAGTTTGAAATTGGATCATTTCCTATGAAAAATCTTGGGTTACCTGTTGCTCCAACATTATGGACTAAAGCATATTGTCAATGCTTAGTGGACAAAGTGATTGCAAGGATCAAATGCTGGGAATCCAGACATCTATCTTATGCTAGAAGAACAGTTCTAGTCCACTCAATATTGATGATACTTCACACATACTGAGCTAGTATTTTCTTATTCCCACATCCAGTGATACAACAGATTATTAGTTGCTGTGGGAACTTCTTAGTGGGCTATAAAGACAATGGTAGATGTATTCCACTGGTGGCTTGGGATGACATCTGCAGAGGTAAAGAGGAAGGTGGGCTGAATATTAAAGATCCAGTAGCATGGAACAAGGCTTTACATGGCAAGCAGTTATGGGATTTGGAGATGAATAAAGAAAGTTTTTGGATTAAGTGGATGAACAACTATTATCTTAAAGGAAAGAGCATATGGATGTACTCTCCACCAGAAGACTGTAGCTGGCACTGGAGGAAATTAGTGAGAGTTAGAGATGAGCTGATCAATGTTGTACAGAATGGAAAATGGGTAGCTAATAAGGATAAACATTATACAACAAGAAGTAGCTATAACTGAATCAGAGGAGGAAATGAGAAATTTAAACCAGCACTGATAACTTGGAGTAAATTTTCTATTCGAAAACACAGCTTTATCAGCTGGTTGGCCTGGAATGGTAGGTTGCTCACTAAGGATCGATTGGCTAGAATGGGAGTCATGGTGAATGATCAGAAATGCCTGTTGTGCAGTGACCAAGATGAATCCATGCATCATTTGTTCTTCCATTGCAGTTATAACCAAGAAGTGCTCAGACAGATTACAGGCTAGCTGGGGATCAGAAGAGATATCACTGGACTGAATTGTGGCAGATTGTTTAACATTTGAAAATCCAAAACAGTGAGGAGGATGATCTTGTTTGCAAGCTTGAATGCAGCCATCCACCATATTTGGATAGAACGGAATGCAAGGCATTTCAAGGCCAGTTTTGAAACAACAATTAGTAGAGGTAGCAAAATTCAGAATGAGATTAAGTGGAGGATTATATATATGTTTAGGAATGGTAGTGGTAATGTTTTCCATTCTTGGAGTGTATTGGTGTATAGTTTAGTTGAGACATACTATAAATCTATTTTTTGATCAATGATATTCACATTTACCAAAAAAAAAAAACTTTGTTTTCTAACCATGAATTTATTCTACTAGGTGGTACATCCAAATAATACAATCCCATTGAATATTGTGCCACTACAAAAACTAAGCAGTCGCTGCGAAATTGGACTCCTGGAAGACATGTTTGATCTCAACCTGCAAATCCCAACACAATAGATCACATATACCACGAATCAAGCTCCCATGTCGCCCAATGAAATCTTTCTTCTTGACCATTTGAACAACATTGGAGTTATCCACCTCTGCAATAACTTGTTTATTCCCTAAGCTCCATACGAGCTGCAACCCCTGGAACAAGTCCCATAACTCAGTTTCCGTGAATATATCAAACCCGATATATTAATAACAACTATCTATTCATTTACTTCAATTTCTAATTTTTGTAGAGTTTCAATAGTTTTAATTAGGGGTAAGAAAAGTTATTATATTTAAAAACTAATTTACTAATCATTGCTTTCTTAATACTTGTAAATCCTAAAACGAAAGATAAAAAAATAGAGGTAGTAATAATTAATTAATTTGGGGAAAAATTTTCAAGGAATACTTATCGTTTTTCATCTTCAAAATTTTAATATTAACTTCTCCATTAATTGATAAGTATCAAGTACGGTACATTATTCAACATTTTCATCAAGAATCGACGGGTGGAAAGTACGTAGCCAGTTGCTTTAACAGAAAGAAGATTTTGCAATCGGAGAAGGATCATCATTTTGAAGGTAACTTATGGATTTATGCTTAAAGAAGATGCAAAGCTGCAGATAAGCTATCCGAAGGGGAAAAAGGCAAATAATATATTTTTTTTCTTTGTTTTTCTTTTTTTGGTGATTAACCGAAAATAATATCTTGAGAATCGAACCTACGAAGCTACGATCTCAAGACAATATATTCATGTGTATATAAAAATCCTTCAAATAGATCAGGCAAAATCACTCAATCATCTTTGAAGGGGTTATATTTGCATCCAACTTACTTAATATGATCACTTTTAGTCTTGAAAGTTTTAGTGACAGGATTATGGGTATGCATGATACAATCATAATTTGAATAACGTACAATCAATTGCAAGATATATGTGATGCAACCATCCAAAAATAACAATAGCAAAATTGAGAAAATTAAAAACATGGGTAGCTCCAAGCCTCCAACCTTTAACGCGCGCAAAGAACCCTAATACACACGGAAGTTAAGATCTGTTAATGTAATGCACGAATATGGGAATAACCATTTTCCGGAACTCGTTAATTCAACTCAGATATCTAGAAACAAGTCATCAAAATTTTAACAATCACCTTGGGGGAAAGAAAATCAAATCTCAATTTATAAAATCATTAAAAAAAAATATACAAAGTTGGCGGCTGTGCCCATATTAAAACACTAAATAGTCTCTAATCTATTCTTTTTCCCACACCCCATAAAATTATTATCATGAGATTGATAAAGTATGAATAAAAACCATCAAATGTTTTAAATCTATTATAATACATTTAAGTGAAACAATTTTATTTCACTAATGAGCAGACTAGAGTGATAAGAGAAATCTACTCTGTAGAATAAGGGAGAAATTTATGATTTTGGCACGTCTTAATGATAAAAGCCATCAGCTATGCACCTTCCACCGAAAGAATATAAATCTAGTAAAGTAATAAGAAAGTCATAAATAAATGAAAAGCTGTGATCATCATCTATCTAACCATCACTCCGCAAGAGAAACCCACATGTTCAAAATTGTAAAGTTTTTAACGTAAGAAATTGCACGCAACTTGATCAAGATTCTATACGGACACAGAGACACATCAAACTTTTATGCTATATATTGATACGAGCATAAACTTTTCTTTTAAAGAAGAGAATATCGGCAACGTTTTTCATTATTTTATTGCGAAGGAATAAAAAAGTTAACATCCACCATTTTAGTAATCCTAGTGCCCTCTATATGTACCTTCGTTCATTTCATGATGTTTTTCTCAAGGCAACCCTTAAAAAACCTCAATACATATACTCATATACCACATTTTCCAACAAGAAAAAGAAAATGGAAGCATTGAGGAGATTGGCTTCGGAAAAGCCGGTGGTGATTTTCAGTAAGAGCAATTGTTGCATTTCTCATTCTATCCAGATGTTGATTTCCAGCTTCGGCGCAAATCCGATGGTTTTCAATCTTGATGAGCATCCACAAGGGAGGCAAGTTGAGAATGCCTTGCTTGCATTAGGATGTAGTCCAACTGTACCCGCAATCTTCATCGGAAAACTGTTTGTTGGTGGCGCCAATGAGGTTATGAGCCTTAACGTTCAAGGGAAGTTGAAGCCATTACTCATCAACTCTAAGGCAATTTGGATGTGATCATATTACATTTCTTCATATGATCCAAAATTAAACCAAATTTAGTGGGGATGTTTTTGTTTGTTTTTCTTTCCTTCTTTTTGTGGATGCCACTTTGATCAAGTGGTGACATGAGGATAGATTCAATAGTTTGAGACCTTTATATATATATATATATATATATATTTTTGGGGTTAGTCTCCATGCAATTTATTTTCAGTGGAGAAGTTTTGCAAGTTTTATTTTGCCAGTTTTGACTTGTAATCAACTAAAATCTCGAATGATTAATTAGTCTTCTTTTGAGTAAATCATGCTTACGGTCCCTTAGTTTTCTTTCAGTTTGTTTTACTATCAATATATATCACTCCCAAAACTTCCATTCCTATTTAATATAAAGGCAATCGGTTATGGGAGACCGAATCGGAAAATGGTGGCAACTGGCAAGCTATAAAACGTGCATATGATTTCCTCTCATTTTTAATTCTCTAAGAATGTCATGAAAATGAGACTGAGAATGATTTCGAATGTGAGATAGAACATTATCATTTCTCTGCATGTAGCTTATGAAGCCGTTTGTACATCCCTAACAATTGTTAAATATTTCATTCGCTCCAAAAGAATAATCAACCTTGTAAAATGAAAACACATTTTGCTTTTTTTTTTTTTCACAAAATATATCAATTTTTTTTTCTGTTAAGTTAAGACTTGAGAACGCCATTTGTTGTATCTATGTAAATTCTTTTGTAACAGCACTTACAGTCGTTGAAAATGAATCCCGTAGAAAATGACCTGCCATTTAATTTGAATCAGTTCCTTGTTCGAGACTACTGGTAATGAAAGATAGTTGTAGTACATGTGTACATTATAAGGACTCCTCACCCATCTATATCACCCACATGTTCATCTATCAAAACCCTAATTAGTTTCCTCTCCTGTTTAGTAACAAATCTTAAAATTAACATTTTTTCCGTCCCACTTTATTTAATCCCCTACATAATTTAAATTAAAATATTACGATAAGATAGATTATTAAAATGGAATAGAGCGATGGTATTCATTACAGCTATAGATTACTTGTACATCACGTATTAGCATACATACAATTGTCACAAGCATTACTGAACCAGGCGCAAGATAAGGGTTATTCGGCTATCCTTACTACTTCCAGAAAAGCACAAGGAAGAAAGGGGCAAAAATCATTGATCAGTAAAAGCATCTTTCTTTCTGGACGGAACATTTTGATGAGGTCGGTTTGAAGGGATGACTTCATGGGATTTTCTTTTTTTATTCCATCACTGTACCGTATTTATCATATGAAAGAAATCTAGAGAAAGCATCGAACTAAATATTACTGCTCAAGAAAATGGAGAATATAGAGAATCAATATGTAATGTAACCATCTTAATTCTGGTCCATCGTACTTCGTACACACCTTCTTTTTCATGTACGAATTTGTTTTTGATTTGTCAAAATATTGCTAAATCGGGTGGGACAGCAGCTATAAAGAAATAAAATAGATAAATTTTTTTTTCTACTTTGGAATCAAAATCTTTTTTTCTCATACGGTGGGTGTGGCTTTCGGAGATTCCAGTTTTGTTAGTCGAGGAGACGCGGTGATGAAACGATACCGTATTTCCGCAAAAAAAATTTTTTTAAAAAATATTAAACCGTATACTACTAATGAATATAGAAGTAATTTTTGTGTGCATTTTTCCACACTTATATGAACAAACAATCAGATCATGTTTACTATTATACATTCTTTTCTGTTTTAAGAAATAAAGTTTATTTTTTGTGCTTCCTCCATCCCAAAATTATTATCCAATTTGAATTTTTATTTTTAGTGCAAATTGAACTAAAAGTGAAAATCCAAACTGGACAATAATTTTGGGACATAAATATTTGAGTGAAAGAGTATTTAGATTATTCAAGTGATAAGCGGTCGAAATTAAAAATTTGGTGTCAAATATGTGAATTAGGCTTCATTTAGAATTTTTTTTTTTTTAAATTTTTGACTTATCAAATTATCAAAGCCACGCGCGGTGAATCTTCCAACCTCAGAACCTTACTCTACTGACGCAAAATTATGCTGTGATAATTAGCTTTATATCTACCATCACTAAGACTTCCAGAATGAGAAATTAACCACATTTTCAAAATACAAAGCTTTTTAACGTCGAAATTTCATCCAAGTTGATGAAGATTCTCTACAGACACACAGACACATCCAACTTTATCCTATATTACCTGTCTTTTCTGATATGATCCAGTCATCCAAGCATAAGAATCATTGCAACCCCTTTTACTATTCTATTAAAAAGTATAATTTAAAATGAAAACTTTAAAATTTACATGTCTTATTTTTCCACAGCCCTCTCTCTATATATAGCTTCATGCAGTCCATGATTTTTTCACAAGGGCAAACCCAAAAAGAAAAAACTACTACTTCTTCTCAATTATCTATATTTGACAAAACTTTCCTAGAAGAAAAAGAATGGAAGCATTGAGGAGATTGGCTTCGGAAAAGCCAGTAGTGATCTTTAGCAAGAGCAATTGTTGCATTTCCCATTCCATTCAAATGCTGATTTCCAGCTTCGGCGCGAATCCGATGGTTTATAATCTTGATGAGCATCCACAAGGGAGGCAAGTTGAGAATGCATTGCTTGCATTAGGCTGCAGCCCAACTGTACCCGCAATCTTCATTGGAAAGTTGTTTGTTGGTGGCGCCAATGAAGTTATGAGCCTTAATGTTCAAGGGAAGTTGAAGCCATTACTCATCAATGCTAATGCTATCTGGATGTGATCATCTCTTCATCATCACATATCTTTGAGCTGATTTCAAATCAATTGTTTTTGTTTATCTTCTTAGTTTCTTTCTTTTCTGAAAACCACTTTGAGGTGGTAATTACGAATAGGTTGAATGGTTTGAGTCTTCTTTTTCTGATCTTTACATCAATGTGTAAGTAGGATAGTTACTTTTGCAAGTTTTGACTTATATTGTTATTACATATGATCAGCTTATAGTTTTCGAGTGACGTAAGTCTTCTTTGGTGAAAATCACACTTATGGTCTTTGCTTTGACTGCAGACTTTACTTTTTTGCCAAGAAATATCTTTTCTGTGCAAAATCACGAGACGTACTCAGGAGACACATATTGGGTTCTTTACCCTAATACTTCCTTTGTCCAATAATTATTATCCAGTTTGGACTTTCATTTTTAATTCAATCCCTTTTACCATATTAAAGCAGAATACAAGATGTTGATGTGTCAACTTAATTTTAACTCCTAACATTTATCATTTATCAATCAAATTAAAATAGCATTTAAATTTGTCCATAAACTTATCCCCTTTATTATTCCACATTCTTTTGTATGATTTCTACATCGTTGTACTTTTCAATATTTTTTCTCATTTGGCGAATGATATTTTTTTTTTTTTTTTGGCTAAAAATGGGAAAAAAACCAAATGTGTAGCTATTTTATCTTTTCCAAATCAAGAATTCATTTATCTATTAACACAAAATTAAAGTAGAGGAGCGCCCGAGCATCTGGTCGGGCCAAACATCTAGTTTATATTAAAGATGAAACTCCAAAATGGACAATAATATCAGGACCGAAGAAGGGAGCAATATATATCCTCAGAATTACTACAATTTATATTCTAGCACGAGGCACAAACCTTCTACGTGAGTATATAAAATTGTTTTAAAAATGTTATACTTACAACAATTTGAACAAGAAATCAAACAGAAATGAGCAGATGTACATCCGTTTGAACGCAATATAATTAGTGGTTTCTATGACGATACGTTATTAGTAATTCTTTCAAAGTATTTTTGCCTAAGAAAAAGTGGAGTGTCGAAGGATCGAGCATCGTTTTTTCTCGCCCAACTCCTCAACCTCACATACTCTAAATCGAAAAATTTGACAAAAAATTTTTAAGTAAGCCATTGGACTGTATATACGATCAACCTTTAAATGTTGAAAACAGAAATTCCTCCTAACTTATGAGAAAGTAGATAAACATTTGGCATTGTTGGCGTCTGTTTGATATTGCTGGCGACTCATTAGTCATTATAAAAGCCATTTGGCAACTCATTACTAGACAAAGATTAGAGGTGAAAGTATATAGATTTGACCTATGTTTCCATAAAAGCCATTTGGCAACTCATCTAATATTATCATGATCCAGTGAAAAGGATTACGTACCGTTATTTCCTTAAAATATATTTAAAGAAAGGATTATGTATGATCCTTTAAAGAAAGGATTACGTACTATAATACATAAAAGGATTACGTATTTTTAATTGACGAAAAAACCTTAAAAATATATTTTCACATTCATTATATTCTTAAAAGGTTGATCGTATATACACTCTTTATCTAATCTTTGGATTAATCGGCTTAGTTACTAATAGTGTACTCAAGCAGAATGGATTATGTATGATCATAAAAAGGTGATAATATTGCCACAAATGATAATATTTCATTTAAACCTGTAATAATTATAAATAGGGCCGACGGATTAATAAACTACCCAGTTAAGAATTAAGATGAGTACCGCCAATAATAAAATCGCGATCCAGTGAATGTCTAGTAATCTCCTACGGGGTTCTTAAAAAAAGCATGAGCATCTTTCATGGGACCTTTTGCCATTAACTGATGTGAAGGAAATCTAGAAAGCATGCAATTAACTTCCATTGGTTCATGGATAGAATAATGTCATGAAATGGAGAATCTATCAAAAAGTAGCCATCTTTTGATGTTCGTAACTTCGTACACACGTTTTTTTTTTTTAACAAAGAAAACAAATTTATTAGTAATAAAAAAATTTAATAGCGCAGCAAATATACTAACCTAAGCAAATACAATTTTAATCTTCGTACAACTTCGTACACACCTTCTTCTGTACGGAATTTGTGATTTTATTTCGTAAGTAGTCAAATATCGGCCAATCGAGTGAAACCACAAGTAGAATGAAACTAGAAAACTTTACAAAGGAACAGAATCTTTTTTCTTTTGTGGTGGAAGAGTGGCTCGGGAGATTCGAATTTTATTAGTTGATGAAGTATTGCAACGATACAAATAATTAAAACAATACCTAATATATAAAATATTTTTTTTTGGATAAATGGTAAATTGCATTATATACACTTGTGAATCATTTACAATCTACAATCATCTATTGCAACTTTGATCAAAATATTTTTAATTAGTAAATTTTTGTGGTGAAATAACTCGGAAAAATTAATTTTTATCTATGACAGAGATAGAGTAATTAGCAGGATGAATTCATATAGTAAAATTATCACACAAACAAATGCAGCACATGGTATATGTATTGTCAGTCTTCACACATTGGTACGATTTTATTTTTCTAGAGGCATTTTACTATTGAATGTCACTCTCCCTATTTTATTTATTTAGTTGTTACATTTCACTCTATGGTAGTTGTTGGTAAAGTTGTAGTTAATTATATGTCAATTACAAGAATTATTGATCATCAGTAATGCATTTCTATGCACAGATTCACATAGCGCATAATAATCTTCTTAAATACTCTATTCTTCCAAGATTAAATTTATATGGAAGATATATTCCTCCGGTCTTATTTTTACAATCCAATTCTTACTGTTTTAGATCAACAAAGTCTAGGCTGAGTTTCCTATTTTGAGAACTTCAATATTTTGTAAGTCGATATCTTGAGCTCGACCAGGTAAAGCGATATTCGTTCTCCTTAATTTGATAACCAATTCAATGTATTCATACTTGTCAATGGTTGAAGGTTAGGTCAGAAAAGAATATCAAAACCAATGGACTTTGGTTTCCCGGCCGAAAAACAGAAATGCTAAAAGAGAAGGGAAAAGGGGCAAAGAGATTTGAGAATCGAAGCTGCGATTTCAAGATGCATTCAAATGACTCAAGAAGTCGGCAGCTACGGAAATAATAAAAGAACCAAAGAAAGTGAGCATAACAGCAATCAAAGAGTCAAATATTTATTCATCAAACTTCCTTTTTCTGGGTAAAAAATGTGCTCACTAAAATATTTTAAAAATCTATTTCAATGGGTGTAGTTTACCCATCTCTGGTAAAGTTCCAGACGTTACAAAAAAAATATTTTAAAAAGCTTTCTTTGATGTTGGTTAACTTCTAATATACATTTAAATGCTTACACAGAATATAAGACATTGTTTTCCCCCCTTTTTTTTGGATGTAATTACAAGATAATTTTTGCTTTCCAGCCCCTTGAATGATGATATTAATCGCGATATATTTGAATTTATCAGAATATATAGACTGACTTATTTCTTACTAAGCTCGACAATAGGATGCGACTAACATTTGGGACTCCTTAAAAATTGAGTATGACATGTCCTAATAAGACAGGAAAGACTAATAGGGAGAATAGGTTCGAGATTGTCGATTTTTGACAATTTGTTCAAGGGATTAATCATGTTTTCAAATACTCCCCTCTGTCTTTATCATAAAAATATCTTGATTTGTTCTAAATGTCATTTAATATATATGTTATTTTTTTTAGGAACTGTAAAAACCTTTTCATTATAAATATCAAAGCACATATTTACATCCAAAACGTCAAAATTGAAGCTACCCAACTAAGTAGCACTGATCTGGAAAACCTACTGAATAAAACTAACTTCTACTTGAGAAAACTTTCCAATGTAGTACATTTTCATTCTCAAATACAATTCTTTCTTAATCAATGTTATAATGTCCTCAATATTTCTTCTTCTGCATTTGAAGATGACATTGTTCCTTTCCTCCCAGCAGTGATATATGACAACTGTAATAGCTGCATTCCACAGCAAGAATTTCAGTCTTGTGCCTCTCCAACAAACCCTCCTGACAGCCTTCCTCCAATCACAAATCTGATGAAAGATACGAACAGTGACAGTGCAACTAAAGAAGAGATGATTATGACTTTCAGAGTGAGATTGACATAATACACACAGAGGATCTACCTTTGTGATGGACATTATGAGCAACCTATCTTTAGTCAATAACCTACTCTGTCACATAAGCCATGCCATGAAAGCATGCTTGGGCACATTGAGTCTGAACCAAATAAAGCTTGCTTCTGGAAACTTAGGAGATTGACCCTGTAACCACATATAACAAGCAGCAATACTGTGCTTACCAGATGCATTTCCTTTCCAGCTGCTGCTTGCAAATCCATCTCTCCCTACGTCTCTTATTTTTAGAATTTGCTTCCAGTGCCAACTGGAATCATGCTTCCTTTCCACTTCCCAGATGGATTGACCCTTCAAATAAACCGAATGAGTCCATTTAACCCACAAGGTATCACTCTTACTTGCTAGGCTCCAAACCTGTTTGAGAATGGCAGCCTGATTCCAGAGTTTCACATTTCTGATCCCCAGACCTCCCATAGATTTCTTCTTACACAAAACATCCCATGCTACCAGGGGTAAGGATCTTCCAGACTGCTTAGTCCCCTAAACAAACTCCTTGCATATTTTGGTCACCTGTTTAATTACACTAGTAGGCAGAATAAAAGAACAAGCCCAAAAAACATGCAAAGACATAAGAACAGAGTTTGTGAGTTGAACTCTAGCAGCATAAGACAAGTGTCTAGTTTCCCAGCTCTTGACTCTAGCCATCATCTTCTGAATTAGCTGAGCACAATCATTCTGAGACCATTTCTTTGGAGAAATAGGGACACCAAGATACCTCATGGGGAAATCACCCTCTGCCAGACCTCTCAGGTCACAAAATCTATGCCTTTTTTCTGCACTCACTCCCCCAAAGAAGATATGAGATTTCTGGATGTTGGGAAATAGTCCAGTTGTAGCAGAGAATGCACCAAGTCCAGCTATCAATTTTTGAATAGAACTTTCATTTGCTTTGCAAAATAACATCAAGTCATCTGCAAAACAAATGTTAGTCATCTTCAAACTTTTACATAAAGAATGAAATTTAAAAGAAGATATTTCTGATACTAAGTGAAACTCCCTTGTGAGATACTCCATGACAAGAACAAATAGATAAGGAGATATGAGATCTCCCTGTCTAGGTTCCCTCCTTCCTTCAAATTTGCCCACTGTTGTACCATTCATAGCCAACGAAGAGGTTTTCGTAGTAACACACTCCATGATCCATCTGATGAACTGACCAGGAAACCCGTAGCCCTTCAACATTTCTTTCAATAAATCCCACTCAACAGTATCAAAAGCCTTTTTAATGTTAATTTTCATTAGTACCCTGCCTGAAATATTTCTCCTCCGATATAACCTGACCAACTCCTGTACAATGAATACACTGTGCATTAGAAGCCTGCCTTTGATAAAGGCACTCTGATTTTCATTTACAAGCGCTGCTATTATGTCTTTCATCCTTTCACACAAAACCTTGGAAATACATTTATTGACCGCATTACAGTAAGCAAAGGGTCTATATTCTCCTTCATTTTTCGGGGAGTCGTTCATGGGGATAAGTGCCAGCAAGGTTGAATTCAGCTGCATTAACACACAACCAGAGTGAAAGAATTCAAGTACTGCTGCAATGATAAATATAAAAATAAATTTTTATCATTTTTTATTTATTTATTTATTTTTTTCATATATATGTTATTCAAAATGAAAAAAAATGATGAAAATATATTTTTATATTTATTATGTTTTATCAAAATATTTTAAGATTTTATTTTTGGTTGAAAAAACATATGAAATGAAACTTAGGATAAATCAAAATATGTTATAGGAAAACCTTGAAAGAGATACTTTTTAAACAAAAAACAGGCATTCTTCTTTCGGTACTATGTAATAGATTAATACCTTTATTTTACCTCTCTGTAAAGACTAATACTTAAATAAACTATAATGAAAATAAATAATGAATTGAAATAATAACTCATCAAAGAACTAAAATATTAAACCACTCTCTCAATAATTACTCACTCAATGAGCGTAGTTAAATATTATACGTAGGTTATATAAGTCATTATTTTATTTTATTATTTATTTTCACTATGTATATCATCTTTTATAAACTAATTGACACATCAACTCCTACCACGTCATGCTCTTACAGGAAGTACGGGTATTCAGCAAACTGAATGGGGCCGACTTGTTATTTGAAGCTTAGTTTACGGCGAACATTTTAATCACCTTTAGGGTTGATCTTTTTGAATCGCGGTTCGGGTCGAACGACGATTCAAACCTAATTTCGGTTCGGATAAAAAATTTTAAAAGGTGAAATGGTTTGGATCGGTTTAGATCAAAAGAATATCTAAATTGAACCGAATAAATCCAAAACCAAAAAGTAAATAATTACATTTTAATAATTCTGTCATTGACCGCCGCCGAACACCTTTGACCTTTGTCGCCGGTCGCCGCCGGCGACAACTTTCGACCCAAATTCCGGAAACTTCCGGGAATTTCATTTTTCCGACGATCGGTGACCGGCTATGGCGTGATGACATCATCGTAACTTTTAATGATGTCATCACTAGCAAAATGGTTCATTTTGGGTCAATTCGTTTCAAACTCGAAACTTAACCCGAAAGGAACCGAACCAAAATCATTTATGATCCAAAAGAAAATGACCCGTTTCCGAACCGATTCAAAATAATGGTTTGGATGGAATCGGTTTGGTTCGGATCGGTTTTCTTCAAAAGAATCACCCTACCTTTAATAACATTCAATGGGGACACATGATTTCTCATTTAGAAATTCTTTACTCTAACCTAAAACATAAATATAAACTCTAGTTGTAATAAATGTATGTCCGTTTTTGTTAATGAACTACATGTAATTACCTAGAAAATGTGCTGATTGATAGTTTCAGCTAAAGGAACTTCTATAATCGGAGAGAAATTCTCCCCTATTTTACTTATCAATCAAATCCATACACGTATAGCAACAGAAGAATCTAAATATAGTAAGGGAAAACCCGGAAAACCTCTGATCAACACCAACTTAACATCAGTCAAGCGGTTGCACCATGAGAATCACATGTCCAAGAATCACCATCAGTCAAGCCGATATATATATATATATATATTTAAGTTGACCAAGATTTTTTTTTCTAAAGGTACAATTCAGTCAAGCTTTTATCCTGTTTTTCGATGTTGTTTCTGAATTATCCGCGAGAATAAAAATAAAACTTTTTCGGCAAAAATCTAGGCACTTCTTTTTCTTTTTGTTTACTGTTCTTTGACAAAATACCATTTAAAATAAAAATTCGATGTCTCTAATCATTTCATAGTCCTCTAAATATACCTCCATGCACCTCTTAGTGATTTCTTCGAGGGTTCATGGGCTGCGTTCTTTTGTCTGGAAAGGGAATTAGGGAAATGAAATCTCATTTGTGATGGGAAAACAGTAATTCATTAAAGGAATCTTTCATTACTCTTGACATGCTTCAAATATGCATTGGAATAGCCAACTTGACGATTGATGTGTTTCTTTTTTTCATAGGTATGGAAATAAAAATTTTAAATTTTAAATAAATTGTAAAAAAAATTAATTTGCACAATAATAATTATAAACATAATAGAAATCAGAAAATAGAACCAAATTTTTCACACACAAAATTTTAACAGGCCTAATTTAGTATATCCTTTTGAGTTTTTTTCTCCCTATTTGAAATTAAAAAGATAAATAGAGTAATCAGGTGGGATTAGGATTATTTAGAGTAGGTTATTTGATTACAAAGGAAAACTAATATCGTTCTTATTGCTTTTTATGAAACGCGGTAATGATAGGAAACAGAATCAAATTGCCATTGATTCCATTCCCATTACTACAAAAAGAACGTAGCCATAAAGTATTCTCTTTCCGATTCAATTAGTTGAAACCATACAACAATAGCTTAGTGATATTCCCAATTAAAGTATATCATAATAAACGGTCAAAGGACAAAATTTGCAGCGCTCAAATTTCGTATAACCAACTTTATCAAATTTACAGTGTCAAAATGCATTTCTATGTATGGTAAATCAGTTACTATTTTTTATACTCTACATTATTATCACTGACTTTATCATATTTCCAGGTTAACTAAAAGGGAAAAAAATTAGAACTTTTAAAAAGTAAAATCCCATGGATTTATGTTCGCAGAAGATGCGAAGCTGAATATATAGCCGAAGGCGAAAGGGCAAAGATTTGAGAATCGAAGCAGCTGCGATCTTAAGAAACTTCATACATTGAATCGTCACAAGAAGTAAGCAACCAAGGAGAGAATAAATAGACCAAAAAAAAAAAAAAGTTCTGCATACTTTTCAAGTAATCCTAAATTTAGTCATCAAACTTTTCTTGGGTTGAAAGAATATTGGCCACAACAGACTTAGAAGTGTCAAAAGTTCTAAACCATGGCCATGCATGTTACTACACGATAGTTAAAGGGATAGCCAAATTGTTTAGACTATAAATAGTTTCATAATATATACAGGACGTAATATTTTTACATCATTAATTTGAAGTTCTCTTTTTGCATCATTTGAAGTGCACTCACTAAATGAAATCTATTTTAAGGCGCCAAAAAAAAGAAAAGAAAAGAAATGTATTTGGAATAGATTTATTTTTTTAAAAAATTCGTAGATCCTCGTGACTGAATAATTCAACAATTTATTCAAATTGGGGGACGAAATTTCTATTCATTAAAAAAAAGGGAAAAAAAAAGAATTAGTGAAGCATTTAATTAATTGACGAAACCATTTTGTTTGTTGATATGCATTTTTTTTTGAGTTTTTATTTTGATAGGTTTAAGAATTTTAAAATTTTCCTCTTTTTTTTTTTTTTCGTTTTATTATGATGGAACACCATAAACTCTAGCTAATAGAGCAAAACTTCCCCAATGGTTTCAACTAAATTCTAAGGAAACTATATTGAATTGTGCCAACCTTTCCACCTTCCCAAATTAAAAGCTAAGTATGGCCTGATCAAGTTTCAACTTCTATATTCAGTTAGTGAATTTATACCATCTCATTTAGACATATACACCCTTGTAAAATTTGTACAGAAACCCTATACTTTAGAAGCTTCTATCACATATTCGAAATTATTATTATTTTTTAGTTATCAATAAATTCACAAGCAGTTCACCTAGTGATCAACGACAACGACCTACTATCACGCAGCACTTCCAACATGAAAATCCACATGTTAAACATCTAAACCTCAATCACTACATTATGCAACTTGATCAAGATTCTTTTTCTAATTCTAGACGCTCGAGAAGTCAAGCATTTTCCGTACGAATCTGATCTGAGAATAAAATTTTCCGACAAGAACCTTTAGCAACCCTTTTTTACTGTATTTGCTCAAAAAGAAAAAAAAAAGAATCAATCAGAAAATCTTTTGAACCCGTCATCTTACTCATCGCAAATAAACTTCTATAGTTCTATAAATACCTTCATCAACTTCATGCTGTTTTCATCAAGTCAAACTTCATATCATTTCCTTCATCCTTCATCTACCTATTAAAAAACTACCACAAAATTTCTAGACACAAGAAATGGAAGCTTTGAGGAGATTGGCTTCGGAAAAGCCGGTGGTGATCTTCAGCAAGAGTAATTGCTGTATTTCCCATTCCATTTTGATGCTAATTTCTAGTTTCGGCGCGAATCCGATGGTTTGTAATCTTGATGAGCATCCACAAGGGAGGCAAGTTGAGAATGCATTGCTTGCATTAGGATGTAATCCGACAGTACCCGCAATCTTCATCGGGAAACTGTTTGTTGGGGGCGCCAATGAGGTTATGAGCCTTAATGTTCAAGGGAAGTTGAAGCCATTACTCATCAATGCTAATGCTATCTGGATGTGATCATCACACATCTCAGAATTGTTGCAAAATGATCAAAACACCTTTAATAGGTTTTTCTTCTTCTATTTCTGTCCTCTAGCTATAAAGTGATCCCACTTTGAGTTGGTAATGAGGATACTAATTGAATGGTTTCAATACCTTTTTGTGAACTACTATATTCAACGGAGCTTTGTTTGTCATAATTTTCAATGAAGGAGAATTGCTTATCAGTTGTATTAAGATGTGTTAAAAGACAACAAATATATATCTGGTGAGAGTCTAGGGGAGACGTCCAAAAAATTGTAGAAACTATTTGATACTCAATATGGACTATTTTTTTGAGACACATGAAATATTAAATTGTATAAATCTAAAACTCAAAGTGGACTATTTTTCTGAGACAGAGGGAGTATTAAAAACTTTAATGAATACATGAATGAAATGAAAGTAGAAACAACTCTTCTTGTCTCAAAAAATAGTCCACATTAAATTTTGAGATTTGTATTAAAGGCAAAACAAAAATCTCAAAACTCTATACAAACTAATTTTTTGGGACATAAATAGTAATAAATTCTTTTTCTATTGCAATCAAGGGACATAAGTAACTGAACTATTTCAGTCGATATATAGTTTTACTTGAACTGTCACTGCTTTATTGACGAAATCGATAATATTCTAATTGAAAAAAGAAAGCAAACCGAGAACCAAACTTGCTGACTAGAGTTCATCGTCGGAAAAAAAGACAAAGAAGTTTTGGTTCTTGAAGCACAAATGTTAGGGATGCAAAATTTTGATATGGGTTTTATCGGGTGGGCGCTTAAATAATGATAATTCTCTCTAGTCAAATTATAATTAAAATTTGCTTGGCAATTAACATTCATGTCTTACCAGAGAACGTACGTATTTGGTACTCGAAGACAACGATTCAAAGGGTGAAATAAAGATGAGTGAAAAAATGATTGGACCAACAATTAATAGAATATAATGCATTTACAGCTTTAATTTAGAGTGAAAAAGACCAAGGATTTATCAACAAAAAAAATACAAAATGAATACGTTCTTGAACGTTGAGAACAAATGTATCTAATTCGTTAAAAAAAAAAAAACACTCTAAATGTACCAAAGATAACAATCTAAATTCCCGGGGGGTTTTTCAATTTGGTCTTTCAATGTGTTGACTAGAAATCAGGTTTTGCCAACTTGGTTTGACTAATGACGTAGCTTGAAAAAATAACGTACGATCGATAACTGTACAAGATTCAACTGGAAAACTTTGGGTACATATGTATTTTATTCAATACTCCTATATATATATATGATATATGTAATTCTAGGATTACAGAAAAAGTGATTTTCATAGTAGCCAACTCCTTATAGAAGAATCACTACAACAAAAACCCCCCTAATATGACACATATTTTGGGACACTTTTATATCAAGTGTCTCAAAAAAATTTATTGAGGCACTTGAGTCTAAGTGTCTCATTATAAATATCTAAGGGGATGCATAAATGCATCCCATTAAAAATGTGTCCCAATATAGGCTGGGACGTTTACATGCGTCCTATTAAGTGTTATATTGGACGCTTAAAAGTGTCCTATCAATTATGATCTTGTAATTTTTAAATTTTTTTTTATTATTTAAGTTTTTGACAATGCTACTATGACACCCTAAAATTTACAAAACTACCCCATATACGACTTGTTTAGTTATTATTATCATGTTTATAAAAGTTTAAAATTATATACTAGTATTTCACTTATCTTTTTGTCCCGTAACATTTTAAACAGTCTCTATCTCTTTCGTTTTCGATTATTAAATGCACAGTTAATTAATAAGATTGAGATGTATAACTAAACGAATTGTGCTTAAACCCTGTCAACATGGCATAAACAGTTATTGTGATTCGTAACATTGGTAACAACATGTTCTAATTTGTGTCATGGTCAAATTTGAGAGAAATTGTTTACATTTAATTAAATTTGTCATGTTTGTATTACTACTTAGTATATTATATAAGTAGTAATGATATAAGACCATAACATACATGTGAAGCGTTAATTACTTATTATGTATGTTTGTGCTTTTATGTCTTAATACGTGGCTATCTGTTTTAGTAATTATTATGCCTCCTTTATCCAAAAAAAAAATACTTAATATTAGATTTTGATATTTGTATTAGTTTTATTACAAATTTGAGAATTCAGTGTGAACTATTTTTCTATGATAGAGAAAGTAACATATATCTACGTGTCTTTAAAATCGTTATGCATTAATTCAACATTTTGATTGTCATGTTCTGTTTTTCAAAATGTATAGATAGAATATAACAACATCACGAACTCACAATAAAAATGTGCTATATTTTTTCATTATTGAGATTCAAATATCTACACAGAATATGAAATTAAAATTATATTTCAAATTTATAAGTTTTGTGAATTTTGTTCATGAGGATTCAATTCATTGTCCAAATATATCACTTCCAAAAATAAAATAATGTATTAAATAAATCCATTTTAATGTAACTAATTAAAAAAAAAGTGTTAAAAAACAATAGTCAATATTTTTCTAAGAAAATAAAACAAAAGTTAAACTACAATAGGGAGGGAAACGAAATGTTAAAGAGGGAATTTGGTTTTAACCCCAAAAATGGAGCGCCATTTTTCTTTTTCTTTTGACATAAAAGGACTAGAAGAGGTGGGCAGAAAGTTCGAATGCCTAATTCCTTCCCCATTTTCAACCCTGAAAGAGGGGAATCTAAGCCACCACAATTCGACCAAAATTTTGGGGTTTTAATTCCTCCTCTATTCGCTGACCTTCTTTGCTGCACGATCAGCACTCACTTAGTAAATTTCTTCTTTGTGTTCTAAATTTTTAGATCTAGACCAATCATGGCCAGATCTAGTTTTCGATTCAGTTTTTTTCACCCTTTAGAAGATGGTTTCAGATTTTATTGGAGCGATGGAGGTGTGCTCTTCATACGCCTTGGAAAATTTTGGAAGAAAGGGAGGAACACTTCTTGCTCTAAGTACAAGCACGGTGGGGATTTCTAAACGCCATGGCTACACTGGGACACCGATGAAGAATGGACCTCAAGGCCGGTGAGAAGTTTGGGATTCTCTAATTCCCATTGGTTTGACACTACTTGCAGTAACCTTATTGTTACCACCAATCTTGACACCTTAGTTCTTTCCATTTTATTTTCTGCAGGGGCAATACTTCAAGGGGTTTAGAAGATACTGTCAAAAAACCAGCTCAGTAATTAGAAAACTTAAGGAAACTCATATATGGGTTCTCAGTTATCTGGGGAACAATAAGTCATTTCTTGTGTGAAATTTAATTTTTAGTAATTTCAGTGTACATCCCATTTTGTCAAAAAAGTTTGATACTTTTCTGTTTTTAAAGAAGAAGAAGTTACTTAGATAAAACGGAAGCTAACTGATTCTCTTTAACATGTCAATTAGTTATAGTTTTGTGGATTCTCTTTCTTAAATGGAGAATTGATTTATTTGAATGAATTGTTGTTTTAGTTAATTTCCACTTGTTTGAGCGAAAGTGATCTTTAATGTATTTGAGATAAATTACTTAGATATATGTCCTTACAGGATTCACTTGTTTCTTTCCAATAGACATATTTATATGCTTAGAAAAATGTTCGGCTACGAGTATTATTGTCTTTTATTATTGTGTTGGATGATGCTTTGCACATTGTTCATATACGTAAGCACTTGCGACTAAAATGCTTCAGGCCTTGTGCTAATCAGAATACTTTTAGACAGCAGAAGCTAAAAGTAGATGATAAACGAAACTGTACGATTCTTCATGTCTCTTTCTTTTTTAATCTTGCATTATTTGAGAAGTCATTCTCTATTTATTTGTTTTATTGTTGTCTTAGTTTTCGAGTGTTTTTTGACTCATAAGTAAACTGTATTGCAATTTGCTGTAGTTTAGCATGGTTCCCTGATTCTAGGTTTGTTTTGACGCCAACTGTGATACCCCCTTTGCGAGTTTGCGTAGCTTATCATGTACTTATTTTGTTTTTTCTCTTTCTTCTTTTTTCTTGTGATGCCGGGGTCATTCCACTTAAATTCATCAATTCTCTGCTCTAGCTATACGTTTCAGATATTACTCTTGCAAGGTAAAGTTCTAAAATTAAATACTTAGTAATTGAAATTTCTGGTGCGTGAAGGTGTTCTCTATTAAATGATAGCCAAGTCTTTTGTTATTAGTGCATTTAGTGGTATTGGTGTATATTTGCAAGGGTTGATGGCTGCATTGTCTTCTTTTGTTCGTGGTACCTTAGTAGTTTGACATAGTTAAATGTTTTTGCTACTTAATCTTCGACATACATATTGAGTGCTTGATCTGAGCATTTTTTTTGGTGATAGGGAGTATCGTTGCTATTTTTGTTTGCGTACCTATGTATTAATTTGCCCATCCATTTCCTAAGTTCGTATTTCCATATCCTTTTGTACATTTGGATCTTTCATTGCCATAGTTGTTGGTTCAAATATAGGTGATTATCGGTGGTGCTACTTGATTTTAGTGGACAACTCCTTTTATTCACTGGAGATTAAGAGATCAAGAGGCATTCTTTTGTTTTTACTTCTTGATGAGAGACTTACTTGTAAATTTGCAACATTATTAGTAGTATCGCAGCTACTTTAGGAAACAATCTAATTTGTAATGCGCAGTTAAGTCTTTGAGATTTGTTCCTTTTTATTTTCTATGTAAACTGAAAATTCAGTAATAATATACTCTACATTTTGGGTATTTGTAATTCTAATTTTTTTTTTTATATATTTTGGTCATTATTAAGCATTAGTTTAAAGGTTGATTTAATTTGCAATATATATAAGGACACGTAGAAGTGTCCCATCATATGCAAGGACATATATATATATTTGAGATAATATGGGGACGTATTGAAGTGTCTCTATAGAAAATAGATTATTGAGATACTTAAAAACTGTCCCAATTCGGATAATTTATTGGGACACTTTCTTCAAATGGGATGAAAGTAAATGTCTCAGGGTCTTAATAGGACATTGAGCTGGAGGACACAATTACATGCGTCCCAAATATGCATTCGTCCCTATAGATAGCGTAACGGGACGCTTCGGAGTGTCCCTATTCAGCCTTGTTGTTGTAGTGAATATGTAAGTATCTGTTGTTGTAGCTTTGATTAATGTCTCCTCTACAAAGAGAGATTAGTACGTTACATAAACATTCATTTTTATATAAAGGACAGAGGACTGACATGAAACACTGAAACCTTTCCCAGAGAGTGAGTAAGGGTAGGGGTGTCAATGGAGTCGTATTTCAGATTTGCGGGTCGGGTCCAACACGAACACGAAGTCTTATGAACTAATATGGGTCAATTTTTTGAACCCGAACACGATTTAAGAATAACACGGACGACTTGACATGATACGAAATGACCAAAAATAAATTAATGTATGTTTAATTAACAAAACATATTTTTGGAAGAACCCGAACTAAATAACTTGTTTTTGGGAAAAAAAAAAAGATAGTATGTATTAAATTTTAAATACTCATAAGTTATACCTTAAACAATAAGTAAATGTCTACAATCATTAAGTATGAGATTTTTTTAAAAAAATTCTTGTGAAGTCAGTGGGAAAGAACTAACTAAATAAGGTATCATAAGCTTGATCTATTATTTTCTACCTCTAATTTGGAAGGAGTGATTGATGGTAGTAGTAGAGATACCACATATGTTTTTAATATTTACCTAATAAGGTCTCAAAGTACTTATTTTAAATGTAATGTTAAATGGATCAATACCAGGGTTGACATAAATTCAAACTGTTTAATAAAATATGTTTACAGGTTCGACCCGATTTCAATACGAACCTGCCAGAGTTCAACCCTAAATGCACAAATTATGTGTTAGGTTCGAATCGTGTTTTCCTGTAAATTTGAAGATTGACACCCCTAAGTAAAGGGCATGCGTTAGGAAATTTATCTAAATGGAAAGCGGAAACAAGGTAAAATATAGCGAGACATATTCAAAAGAACAAATTTTTTTTAAATTGTATTATTAAAAAGAGGTGGAGAGAGTACATAAAATGAAAAAAAAAAAAAAAAGAAAGCAAGAAAAGGAATCAGTAGTTACACTGAATGTTGCCGAAACTCTAAAATCAATATGAACAGAATTTTAGTGTGTATTACAAAAGGCCTTAATATAGCCCCCGTAAATAACTACAGAGAAGCAGTTGAATTCCTCGTTGTCAATAAAGCTAGAAGTTTGGATTTTTTGACGCTGGCATGCATATATGACAAAGTTTGTGATTTCCCAGCTGAATGTTTATTTCAAGGTTGGATGATCATTATTCATTGATTAGGGATTTTATATTTATTATTATTATTGTTTGGTTTAAAGAAAGTCGATAAATATCGAAATAATAAACATTATATCTCGTAATGAAATTCTATTTTATATAAGAAGTATGATGTGGTTGTTGTTTTCACTAAGAAAAAATTCACAAAAAAAAAAAAAAAACACCTCAACTTCAGTTTTTAGTACATAAATAAAATTATAGTTTCATTGATTGGAGGTTTGAGTCGGTTGAAATATCTTTAGATTCTTGACTACTAAACATAAGATGATGACGAAAATTATGCCAAAGGACAAAGATTCTCCACGAAGTATTTCCACAAGGCCAGCGGGAAAAATTGACCTTAAAATCAGCAACAATAAATCATTCTTTTTGGGTGAAGAATATATGTACGACATACGATGATGAGTTCATTGAATCGGGTAGTTGGGTGAATATTGCATGAGATCGTCAGAAGATTATAAATTTATCTTGATCGATCGACGACATGATTTATGACCATTTTAATACATTATATATATGTACATGTGTAGAAAACTATTTACAGCAATTTCTATGAAATTGCTTATGGAGAAAAGTTCGAATAAATTGAAATGGAGAATATGCTATACTCCACGGCCATTCTCTGTTTTCCGCGCACTTTTAAGAAAGATGATCTGCAGTTTCGTTTCTTTTCCATTTGGCCGCCATCTTTCAACTTACTTTATCATTTTTTTTTTGTTACTGGAATAATAAGAATAATAATATATTTTTGGCCTTTTTAAGCAAGGTACCTTGTACGGAGTTTCTTAGATATCACAGAAAGAGATATTTTTTTACTCCTACTATGATCTATTCAAAAATTATTGTCCAATTTATATTTTTTTAGTACGATTTATATTAAAATTAAAAATTCAAATCTAACAATTATTTCGAGACTGAGGAAGTATTATTTTAGGGGGGAAAAAAGAATGAAACATGGATTTTGATGACAGTAAAGTACCGGTCTCCACAATTTGTGAATAACGGTAGTCAGAAGAAGAGTTAAGGTTACACCATTTGGAGATGTATTAAAGCACATTTTCGATGGTCGAAATTAGGCGGATTTAGAAATTACAAAAAACATACAAACATTGTTGGAGTTAGCCTGAAACCCAAATTAAAATCGCCAAAACTTTTCCTCACAAAAGTGATCTTTGTACTTGATTCAAACAACGATAAATTTCAGTTTGTCATGTCCCTATAATTTGATGCTCCCTGTCTCTTAATAAAAAAAAAATTAAATAGTCCAATCCCTTAAGTTGAACCAATATTACAAAAGTACCGAATTTTTCTAGAGAGAGCATTACCTCATGTTACTTTTAAAAACAAAATTACAAAATAAATATGAAGATTAAAGCTAGTGTATTCATGAGTTTTAACTATATTAAGGTTTTACTAATTATCATACTAGTATTTTTGGGTGGCAGAGGTTTTTTGTTTTTTGTATTTTTTTTTTTTTTTTTGTTTTTTTGAATGGGAGAGTTTGGTTTAGTAGTGGTAGATACCGAGGTTGAAATCTTGTCAAAAACAATCCAAATTGGAAGGAAAAGAGGCTAGTTCGACTAAAGTACTGAATTGATATTTATTCATTTACAGATTAATTTGTTGTTAATGTGATAGACAAATATAAAACAAAAAACTTGAGCAATACCATTGTTAAGTTGCCTATAAATTAAATAAATGACATATTGGTCCTCTGTTATCGAAATAAGGTATTGATTGATATGGGCATTCTTAATATATTTGGATCATTACAGTTCAGAGAAAAGTTAATAGCAACCCAATGAATCAAGGGTTGTAATAGTGTTTTTTGCTGGTAAGGAGTTGTGATTATTTTGTTTCTTTTACATTGTTAATATTATAAAAATTAAAAATTAAAAAAGGTAAGAGCGAAGTTTCAAAAGTTCAATTCTTGGCATGCCGAATTGAACGACATGCACAAAAAATATTTGCGGGATATGAGATTCCATTCCACTCTATTCTTAACACACATAATGAAGATCATTAATCAAATCCCAACTGCCGCTGATTTTGATCCAAAGCATAAAACTTTAGCGGAAACAGAAATTTCAAAAGAGAACATTTTGCCTGGAGTACTAGCTCCTATAAATACCCGACTCCAAGTTCAAGATTTTACTCAAGCCACAATAGCCTCTTATCAATCGCACATACATTCCTATCCATCTTGATTTTATATTTTTATATTTTCTTTAATCCACCAAGAATATATCTAAGCAAATGGAGCCATTGATGAGGTTGGGGAAAGAAAAGCCGGTGGTGATATTTGCAAAGAGCAACTGCGGCATTTCCTACGCGATTCAGTCGCTGATAATCAGTTTCGGCGCAAACCCTACAATTTACAACTTAGATCAACATCCACAGGGCAGGGAGATTGAGAATGCATTGCTTGGATTAGGGTGTAATCCAAGTGCTCCCGCTGTTTTCATCGGGAAGCTGTTTGTGGGTGGTGCTAATGAGGTTATGAGTCTCAATCTTAAAGGGAAGTTAAAGCCATTGCTCATCAATGCTGGAGCCATATGGATGTGATTTCAATCGTTGTGATCTGTTTACGATCCTCGCGACATTTTTATTGTTTTTCCTAACCTCCGACTCCGAATATTCTTTTTTCTTTTCACATGGTGCTTCTATTTGCTATCTTTTTATATGTATCAGTTTCACACACTCATTTGTAGTCGTATTGCTACTTGTAATTTGTGCAACGGAGAAGAAGAAGACTATTACTTTTCCCCCCCAAAAGTTATGGTGTTGTGACTCCTTCTATTTTATTAAAAGTGAAAATTCAAAAGATACAATTAATCATGTGGAGATAAGTGGACTATTAATTAAATAATATTACCATCACTTATAGGTGTTTTTTCCCAAAGTTTTTTTTTTGTATTTTTTTATGTCTCATTATGATGGATATATGATGCAAATGTAACTCTAGACCCAAAATGAGTAATCCAAATGTAGCACCTATAATCCTTAACCGTACGTTATAACTTGTTAATTGGACACATGATCAATACCAAGAAATAAACTTTACCAAATCTGTTGATTTGATTTGGTACTTAGAAATATTAAGACATCAAAATCCTACTAATGCTTTTACAGAAAAGAGACACACTTTCAATTTATCGATCATAAATCTCGATCAGTAGTACTCAAATTACAATGCGGCAGCCAGTCCTTATTTGGGCCAAATCGAAAAATTATTCTTGAACAAAAAGAGCATTTAATGATGTAATGCTCATTTTTTCTTGATACTTAGCAGATAAACTTAACTAGTAGTAATAGAATTATGAGTTTACATAATTATAAGGTTTCTTTGCTCTTTTACACAGAGAGAGGGGGGGGGGGCATTGGTGATATGATTCCTATTCATGTTGGAGTTAATTTATACTCTTTCCTACATAAATTTTACAATCATATCAAATAAAATCGAAATGATACTCGTAATTTGTGTGAGAAAGTAAGAGGCCTCAAACATATTCACCTTTTAGTTTTACCCAACATTTGCCTATTCCCCTAACTCACCCCTGCCATGTTCCATTTCCACAAAATTAGAGAGGCCGCAAACAATTCGACTTTATTACTGTCGCGCTAGCCTTAGCATCAGAATACAACTGATGGTCAGAGACAATTAATCGTCTAACTTAGATTTTTCGAGAAAAATAAAAACCTCACAAATATATTTACAGTTAATAGATTAATAATTAAGTTTTTATTTTTTGATATTAACTACTCCTTCCGGTCCTTATTATAAAGCATTTTGATTTGTCATAAGATGCATCTAGTATGTTTTTCAAATTAAAAAAAAAATAATTTTAAAAATATATTTTCTCATTTATTGTGTTCTCGTAAATATTATAAAATATTGTTAGGATTTTTTTTTCCTAATTGAAAAAATGTACTAGATGAATCTTAAGATAAATCAAAATGTCTTATAATAAATAGGGAGGGAGTACTCAGCTAATATATAGATAGTCGATTTGTACTAGGTTATTTGCGGTATTGCCAAGAAGTAAGGTTTTGATTACCTTTGACAATTTGACTAACCAGCTAGCTACGTTTATCAATGCGTACACTTAACTGCAGGGAAATGAACTACTCCTGTTTCAGAAAATTAACTAGTCTGATTTGGGAAATTTAAATCGATCAATTGCCTTGCTTAACTAATTTTTTTTTCAAATATAAAAATTAATATGAAAATATCTGAGTGGAGCATGATGCCTATGTTATCAAATTTATACAAATCTCCAAAGTCTTAATTTGAAATTTCAACTTCGAATATTGAGCCGTTTTTTCCGGGGAGGGGGAGTATTTTTTTTTATGATTATTATTTATCAATAGTGGCCATATTCGTAACGTCCTTGTATATAAGGACCATAGTTTGCAAACTCGTGATTCTGTATCGTAGGATCGGTCCTTGTATATAAGGACCATAGTTTACAAACTCGCGATTCTGGATCGTAGGATTGGACGATCCTACGATCCCATGTACCTAAATCGATCCTGAATCGGTCAAACTTAAATTTTACAGTGGGATCGGAGTGAGATCGGTCAGGATCGGTTAGGATTGTACAAGATCGGTTAAGATCGTAGAATCGGTTCGAGTATACTATTCAATAATTATAAAAAATTAATTGAATTTATTGAGATTTTTCTTTTCTCTTATTTTTTTTGGTCTACATTCAATTGAGACTAATATTCATTGAGGAAACTTTTATTGCTAAGAAAAATACATTTTAGAAAGTTTTTCTAATAAAATGAAAAGAATAAAGATAAGAGAAGAGTTTTCATTAAAAGGTTATAAAAAAATTCACATACGAAAATTGAATTTACACAATTCTTTTCGTTTAAATGTTAAATACTTTATTTAAAAGTAACTGAAACCTAATTATTAAAGCAATTAATTACATAACCTGTATAATTAATTTTACGATTTTATTATTCTGATCCTACCGATCCCGTTTATAATCCGATCTTATGACCCTATTTCGATCCTACGTAGGATCACGATCCTGCAAACATTGGTAAGGACACATTAACTTCATAACTCTAGGTTTACGAGAAAGTCTATCCCCCGACACAAAGAAGGTCTAGTTGCATTATATTAAATGCTGTTGCGGACTTGTGGTTTTATGATTTCATTTTCGTTTATTTAAGAAATTTGGAAATTTATCCTAAAAGTTGAGACTCTTCATACTAGTAAACATCAACCTTCGAATGCGTACGAGAATAATTATGTGACATGACAAAGCTGATTCCCCACAAAGTATTTCGAGAAGGTAGCGGCAAAAATGGACCTAAATCAGCAACACCAAATCGCCTTTTCTAGGGTTTAGGAATATTACGTATAATGATTTAATTGGATAGTTGGATCAATGCATGAGAGCGTCAGAAGTCTAATACAACGATCCGCCTGTGATTTTTACCATTTAATGCATGTGTACAAAATTATTAAGGGCTATTTCACAGCAATTGCTTACGGAAAAAGTTCAAATAAATTAATCGAGATGAAGAATATATGCTAATACTCCACGGCCCTTTTCCGTTTTCCACGTACTTTCAAGAAAGATGCTCTACTGTTTGATTTTTCTTCACGGGGTCACAATATATACTCCTTTTCAACATTACTTTTTTTTGGTTACTTGTCGAACAATATTCCCTCTCACAAATTACGATGAATATTTTTCTATACTAAATATTGATACACAATATATATGGACTATTTTAATGAACAGATAAAGTATTATTTTATTTTTAGTTCATAATTGCTAGGTTTCACTTCTTATTTTATTCATTTACTAGTTCACTTTTTGAGTAATTTCCTGTCATGAGATCTATTATGGCACTTTCGCGTGCTTCAGTAGGATTTTATAGCTAGGTTAAGACGACCTGCGGTGGGGAAAAATGTCCAGTGGTTTGCAACAAAAAATGTCCCGAGGGAGTCATAATCAAACAGTCAAACGACAAAATATCACAAAAAAAATAATAATAATAAACGGTCAAATGACAAAATTACTGTATCAAATTTTGACTAACTGCAAATTAAAAGGACATTTGCTTTTAAATCACACACGATCTTTGTATACATTGTTTTTCTTTGTCACTCTACGATCCTATAACCCACTCCATCATTTTTTTTTTTTTCATTTTTCAGGGTTAACTAATACCGCAAAAACTAAACGATGTAAAACCCCTTGGATTTATGTTTGGAGAAGATGCAAAGCAAAAGATATAGCCGAAGGCGAAAGGGCAAAGATTTGAGAATCGAAGGTGCGATCTCAAGAAACTTCATGAATTGAAATCTCATAAGAAGTAGGCAACTAATGAGAGAATAAATGGCCTAAAAAAAAGGTCAGAACACTTTTCAAATAAACCTAAATTTAGTCATCAAACTTTTCTTGGGTTGAAAGGGAAAAAAAATGGCCGCTTAAGCTTTTGAAATTTCAAAAGTTCAAAACGATGGTCATGATTGTCACTACACGAGACGTGTTAATTAAAGTGAGTTATTACATTTGAAGTTTTATTTTTTTAGAAAAATTCAGAGCGGCACTTGGCAGGATGATTATGATTTTATTAATATGAAAAAAAAATACAACGGGTAGTAACTAAGTATTACCCAAAAAAAAATCCGTCATACAAAATTTTTTCTAAAAACTCTATGACAGTTCTATACATATTATAACTAAAAAATTATCTTACAAACATTCTCTAAAATCACATGACAGTTCTTTTCTGAAAAACGTAAAAAAAAAAGGTTCAAAATCTAATCATTTAGACTAAGAGTTTCTTTCACAAAAATTTGTCTAAAAAACTCATGACAGTTCTATTCTACTTATCTAACTCAGAGGTATATATACACAATATACCCTTTGGGGGCTAGACAAGTTTTCATATTACATTACATTGAACGACCATTTGAAGCTTTGTTTCAAAAGGCCATCTAGTATAGCATTACATCATTTGAAGTTTTCACACTAAATCGGATATGTTTGAACTTTTAATGGAAGCGCCGAAAGAAAAGGGAAAAACTCTCGATCGTGTCCAATTAATTTTGGAGAAATTTACATTGTTTAGCGACTGATTGGTTCAAATTAATTACTGGATTTATGGAATCAAAATTTCTATTTATGTAAGAACTAGTGTAGCATCTGTAAAATTTAAAAAACTATTATTTGTGGTTTTTATTATAAGATAAGTTGATTTTTCTTAAATTTTATTTATTGTATTTTTCAGGTAAAAATTAAATCTTAAAAATAATTTATAATAATTGAAGAACACAGGATATTACTATTTAAATTTTTTGAATCTTTTTTTTATAGGTGTGACTGATTGAGAATTTAATAGTTATAAAATACGTTAACTTTGTTATTTTTGTTAGGACGAGAGAGCGCTGGCAGGCCTTGTGATACATAATCTGTTGGATTAAATGGACGCAAAATATATATTTTTTAAGTTCTAAATTATTGTTCAGTTTAAATTTTTATTTTTAGCTCAAATTATATTAAAAACTTTATTAGGATTGAATGATTATGTTCGTAATCTCTCAATGTTCCTTAAAAGTACTGATAAAATCATTTCAGAAAGTAAACCTTTCCCATTAGCTAACTAAATTCTATTAGAGAAACATGTTCCAAATAGAAAAACTTCAATCATTTTAATTTGTTTGAAAGAAGAAAAAATATCTATACCTAAATATTAATATGAATTTATATGAAAGACTTTGGTAGTGCTCTTGGATCAGAATGCAAAATAAGTAATTAGAGCACAAGGAGCCATCTTCTCATCTTTATCTTATTTTTTATATCAAAAGAAAAAAGATGGCAAACTATATAGCTGATATTTTCATCAGTTAATGAAAGAGCCTAATGCAAAAAAATGCATCTTAGGTCTTTGAAACAGTTCAGATCATTTTGTACGATAATATCATTCTTTAGAGAAGATCAAGTTTCAAATTCTGTATTCAATTAGTGACCATTTCATTTGTACATATACACAATTGTTGTAAAATTAGTAGACAAACCCTATACTTTAGAAGCTTCTATCATATATACGAAATTATCATTGGCTCAAATATACAATTGTAAAAGTAATTCATGAAACTCTATACTTTAGAAGCTTCTATCATATATACGAAATTACTTTTGTTAAGTTATCAATAAATTCATCAGCACCCACCTAAGTCCCACAGAATCTAAATATGGCTTAGTGATCAACGACCTAGTATCACTCTGCACTACCAACATGAGAAACCACATGTTAAACATCTAAACCTCACTCAATATTATGCCACTTGATCAAGATTCTTTTTCTAATTCTAGACACTCGAGAAATCAAGCATTTCTTGTATGAATCTCATCTGAGAATAAACTTTTCCGACAAGAACCTTGGCAACCCTTTTCACTGTATTAGCTCAAAAAACACACAACTATCTGAAAATTTTTTGAACCCGTCATCTTATTCATCCCCAAATAGACTTCCATAGTTCTATTAATACCTTCATTAACTTCATGTTTTTTTCCTCAAGGCAAACCTCAAATAATTTCTCCCCTTTTCATCTACCTATTAAAAAAACAAATTACCACAAAATTTATAGACACAAGAAATGGAAGCATTGAGGAGATTGGCTTCGGAAAAGCCGGTGGTGATCTTCAGCAAGAGTAACTGCTGTATTTCCCATTCCATTTCGATGCTAATTTCTAGTTTCGGCGCGAATCCGATGGTTTACAACCTTGATGAACATCCAGAAGGTAGGCAAGTTGAGAATGCATTGCTTGCATTAGGATGCAATCCGACCGTACCTGCGGTTTTCATCGGGAAACTGTTTGTTGGGGGCGCCAATGAGGTTATGAGCCTTAATGTTCAAGGGAAGTTGAAGCCATTACTCATTGATGCTAGGGCTATTTGGATGTGATCATCAAACTTCTCTGAAATGGTGAAAAATGATCAAAGAACCTTTAATTCTTCGTCTATTTTTGTCATCTATAACGTAGTCATCCCACTTTGAGGTGGTGATGAGGATAGGTTGACTAGGTTGAGTTTCTTTTTGTGAACTACTATGGTCAATGGAGTTTGATAGGTTGAATAAGTTGAGTTTTTCTTTTTGTGAACTACTATGATCAATGGAGTTTTGTTTGTCATAATTGTCAATGCAATTTACTTTATTTACTAGTGAACATTTTCGAGTTTGACTTATGATTAAGTAGACTTCATTTGGATTGAGAAGTTTATTGGCGAAAGAAAGGAGAGAAAAGAAAGACAAATTTTGATTTCGAAAGAAAATTCTTCATCTACAGATCTTGAGGATGCAAAATTTTGATATGGTTTTTGTCATTTATAACCTTGATAGTCGGCAATAATAATAGTTCGATCGGGTTCAGAAAGAATTAAATTTGTTTGTTTAGTTAAACTTCATGTCTATAGTAGTCGGTACTCAAAAGAAAACGATTCAAAGATGAAATGAATGGGAGAAAAAGAATTAATAAGGAAACTTTCGAATGAACAATTATTCAGAATGTATCTGATCAAACATATATTTCCCTTATTGAAATATTTTAAAGTTTGTCACTATTAGTTTGGACCACCTATTATAGAACATATTGTATATTTATAAATTTAATTTAGAGTTAAAAAACCAAGGAGTTATTAAAAAGAAATCAGTACACGCTTGAACAAAAATACTCATGGGGAATTTTTCAATTTGGTCTTTCAGTGTTGACTAGAAATCAGGCCTTGCCAACATGTTTTGACTAATCAATGAGCTAGCTTGCAATAATAACGTTGAAGATTCAACTGGAAAAATTTGGGTAGATATTTTATTAAATATATAGATATATGTCATATGTAATTCTAGGATTACAGAAAGAGTGATTTCAAACTTGTCTCTCTGTCCCGAAAAGATTGACTAATTTAGATTTTTATTTTTAGTTCAAAATTAAAAGTTAAGATCCAAATTAAAAAAATCATTTTGATACAATAATAGTAACTAGCCAACTTCTTATAGAAAAATATATCAACACTTGTTGTAGTTTAGATTAATGTCTCCCTTGATAAAGAGAGATTAGTACAATGCATAAACATTGCTTTTTTCTCTAAATAAAATAAAGGAAAGAGGACCGAGCTGAAGCCTTTCCCAGAGTAAAAATAGAGTGAAGGGCAGGAACAAGGTACTGTTAGGAAGTTCGTTTAAATTGAAAGCCATAACTATAGCATAACATACTCAAACAACCTGTTTCCTACAAACACGATTTTTAAAAAGAGGCGAGAGATCTAGTACATAAAATGGGAAAAAAGAAAAAAAAATGAAAAAGGAATCAAGTAGTTCCATTGAATGTTGCTGAAACTCTAAAATCAATATGAACAGAATTTAGTTGTGCATTACAAGGGGTCTCAATATAGCCCCCGGAAATAACTACAGGAATGTAGTTGAATTCCTCATTGTCAATAAAGCTAGAAGTTTGGATTGCTTGACACTAGCATAAACGAGAAAGTTTAACATTACCCTTCTAAAGACATATATTCAAGGTTGGATGATTATTCATTAGGAGCAATGTCATTATTATTATTATTATTTAGTTTCATGAAGGTTGATAAATACCGAAATATAGATATAGTTAAGCATTATATCATGTATTGAAATTCCGTTTTATACAAGAACTATAATGTGGTTACCGCTTTCACTCAAAAAAAAAAAAAAACATATTTATATTTAAGTAATCAAATGTAAAAGGTTGTAACAGAAAAAAAAAACCCTTAAATTCATATTTTATTTAGTAACGGATGAAAAAAAAAATGATGGTCTGGTAGATGGAATGTTTGAGTCGGTTGAAATATCTATAGATTCTTGACCACTAAACATAAGATGCTGACGAAAATTATGCCAAAGCACAAAGATTCTCCACGAAGTATTTCCACAAGGCCAGCGGCAAAATTTGACTTAAATGGCTAAATCAGCAACACTAATTCATATATCTTATTTGTTGAAGAATATTAGTACTGCATATGATGATGAGTTCATTGAATTGAATAGTTGGATGAATATAGAATGAGATCGTCAGAAGATTGTAAATATATCTTGATCGATCCACCAAATGATTTATGAAAACTTTAATACGTTAAATATACATGTGTAGAAAACTATTCAGGGCAATTTCACAGCAATTGCGTATGGGGAAAAGTTCAAATAAATTAAATGGAGAATATGGTATACTCCATAGCCATTCTATGTTTTCCACGGACTTTTAAGAAAGATGCTCAGCAGTTCGTTTTTTCCCCATTTGGCCGCCATCTTCAAAGTTACTTTATTTTCTTCCTTTTTTTTTTTACATGATTAATGATAATGTATTTAACCATTTTGAGTAAGGTACCATCATGTACGGAGTTTCTTATACATCACGGAAAGGGAAAATTTTTACCTATTTTAGGAAAATAAAAAGAAGAAGAAACATGGATTGTGATGACTGTAAAGAACCATAACTTGATTCTGATAAGTTTAGAATTAATAAAGGTGTGCTAAACGAATTTCATGGTCAAAACTAGGTGGATTTAGACGATCGATGCTTTAGCAAAACTCGCTACTTCACAAGATATTTTAAGTAAATTCGCACTCATTTTGACATCAATGCATTTTAGGTTTTGTACCACTAGATCAAAGAAATTTTCCCTATGTGAGATGGAAATGTAACTAGCAATATTGAAAAATTCTCAAAGTTTTATGTGCATTATCAATTTTTATTTTTTTTAAAAAAAAACTGATCCTTTTAGACATGATAGACTACTTATAAAATAGTCCCTTTTTCCTTTATTTTATTGTTAGAGTGTGTATGTTTGCTTCTCTGTATTGATAAACTAAGTGGGGATTCAGACAATTACAAAAAAAACATACAAATTAACCCTGTTGTTGAGAGCCTGTATTACTCACTAAAATATTTGTTGAAAAAGTTTTTCCTTACAAAACTAACCGTACGTCCTGACTCAAATAAGGATAAATTTGATTGTATCCTGTTCGTGGTAATGGATATCGAGTTTCAAATCTTGTCAAAACAATCTAATGGGGCCAAAAAAACTTTAAATAAAGCAATTGAATTGATATTTATTTACTTACGAGGTGCTATTCATGTGATAGACTATTTTTTCTTTAAAAAAAATAGACCAGGAAAAAGAGCAGAGCAATATATTTGTTATTCGGTCTATATATACATTGACGAAAAAAAGTTTCGCAATATGTTATCACAATAAGGTATTGGTTGATATTGATATTCTTAGTCTGAAGCATTATATTACAGTTCAGAGTAACATATTATATAGCTACCTCTGATTATTTAATCTGAAGTATTCCAATGAATTAAGGTTATAAATACTGCAGAGAGTTTATACTCCTCCTTTATTGTTCTGATTTTTTGTTTCTTTTAAATTGTTAAGAAACATCCCCTGTAGAATCTTCCCTAGCTATTTAAGAACATTGTAATATTATGCAAATAAAATAAAATTTAAAAAGTTAAGAGGGAAAGTTCAAAAGTCCAATTTTGGGCATGACTAATTGAACGACATGCACAAAAGATATTTGTGGAATAAGGGATTCCATTCCACTCTATTCTTAACACACATAATGAAGATCTTTAATCAAATCCCAACTGCCGCTGATTTTGATCGAAAGCATTGAAGTTTAATGCTTTTGCCAAAAAAATAAATAAATAAACAAGAAATTTCAAAAGAGAACATTTTTGCCTGGAGTAGTCCTATAAAACCCGAATCTAAGTTCAAGTTCTTACTCAAACTACAATAGCTTCTTATCGATCATACACATTTACATCGATCCTGATTTTATATTTTGGTTTTCTTACTTCACTAAAAATATATCTAAGCAAATGGAGCCATTGATGAGGTTGGGGAAAGAAAAGCCGGTGGTGATATTTGCAAAGAGCAACTGCGGCATTTCCTACGCGATTCAGTCGCTGATAATCAGTTTCGGCGCAAATCCTACAATTTACAACTTAGATCAACATCCACAGGGTAGGGAGATTGAGAATGCATTGCTTGGATTAGGGTGTAATCCGAGTGCTCCTGCTGTTTTCATTGGAAAGCTGTTTGTGGGTGGTGCCAATGAGGTTATGAGCCTTAATCTTAAAGGGAAGCTGAAGCCATTGCTCATCAATGCTGGAGCCATATGGATGTGATCATATATAGGCATGGTACTTGGTTGATAATTTGACCTAAAACCTCTTTATTCTTCTCTTGCATATGAGTTTTAGTTAGTCTTTGAAATTTTAATCATTTGTGATCTGTGACCGCGGGGATTATCGCGGCATTTCATTATTTTTCCTAACCCTTCCCGTCTCAGTTTTTCCCTTTTCCCTTGTTCCACATGGTACCTCAATGTGTTATATTTTCATATGCATCAGTGTGATTGATCACACGCTCATTTGTAGTCGTGTTGTTACTTACATAATTTGTGTAACGGAGAAGAAGAAGCTCTTACTTTGTCCCCCCAAAGTTTAATTGGCACTTTTTTCAGTATGGTGAATCTCACCTTCAAACGACAAAAAGAAAGAATCTTACTTGAATATTACCTTCACTTTTTTATATGTCTCAGTATGGTGAATATATTATGTAGCGGTAACTTCAAATCAAAATAAGTAATATAGACATAACAAATATAACCTCTAACCGTTAACGTTGATGATTATGTGTTGATAACGAGGAATTAACCATCCTAAACCTGAAAATTCGATACAGATACCCGAAAATCGAAATTTTACTCAGAAGATTGGAACAAAGATACACTCAATTTTATCATAAGGTTTAGAGACATATTTGAGATAAACCCTAATAAAAAATTACTAAGAGATCCATAAATAATAATACAACAAAAAGACATATATCAAGAAATCCTCATATAATATCTATATATACCAC